ATATATAGTTAACTGCTAACATTAACTTTTATAAAGACTTTATTCTATAATGAGGAAGTCAGTTTTGTGAAATTTGCTCCCTTTAACCTTGTGAGAAAAATGAGTAAGGCGTTTTCTTTTATTATTTTGAGTTGCTGGCTTCAAATATTCGCAGCATAATTTGTATATTAGTCTATCATTTCACACGATCACGCTTACAGCTGTTGTCCCTATTGTGGAAACTAAATTGAGTAAAACCTTTAGGCAGAAGTGGTTTATGATTAAGTAGTATATACATATATCTTACAATTCCGTGCAATAAATAAACGTTATTACTTTTGCTGCACCCGCCGTTTCCCCCTCGAAACTGTTCTTGAATTTTATTAAAGTCAATGGGTTAGTCTCTGCTTTAAAACAAAACCAGTATAAAGAAGAATAAAACATGGTAGGTCTAATCTTAGATTTGTCCTCTGCGTGTTTCTGTCCTTCCTGCCTCAAGTTTTCAATCCTTTACCTGCGTCGCTAAGTAACTTGAATTGCATATGGAAGAAGATGTCATCGTCTACTTATTAGTCTACAAGAAATAGTTAAAACATTTTGTGGCACACAATGCAAAAGGCCTACGGTGACGTAAAGTTGCCATCAAAGTCATAAAGATTTTTTTTTTTTTCCCACGCCTGTTTAATTTTTTATGTCTTTGTTTTGTTGGACAAGAAAATGATAAAAAAAATGACCATGCTGAAATGTTTTTGCTTCTCTATTTTGCCGTAATTAAAAACTGTACCGGAACTTGTGACAAATTTCTTCTCCAGTAAGTTTTTCTTTCTTTCTTTTCTTTTTTTTTTTTAAAAAAAATAATCCTTTTTGTTTTTCTCTCGTGTCTCCGTAGCTCCAGGCGGCTCGTGACCCTGGCGCGCGGCCTGTCTCCTGCCTTTCTGCGCTTCGGTGGAAAACGAACCGACTTCCTGCAGTTCAACAACCAGAAGAATCTTGCCAAGTTCAGGGGCCCTGGTCCAGACTACTACTTGAAGAATTACGAGGACGGTAATTAGACGCGGCGTTTCTCTTTTCGCCTTAGTCTGACGTTATGTTTGTGGCAGAAAAAAGATATGGCGTCGCCGTCTCTTGTGTCTTGTCTCACACACTTTGTTCTGGCAAAAATACATTTAAGAACAAACAGCATAATATTTACTTTACCCCCACTGATGGCTGACCTGGCATTTATAGTAAATATAGCTTCATATAACTAGGTGCCAGTTTAGCTGAGACACGTCACTTCAATCAAATATAAAAGAGGAAAAAAGAAAATAAAAAACTAGACCGTGATGGATGGATTTATTCCCATTCACGCTCACTCCTTGATTAAATTAATGCTAGTGCAACAGTCTGAACGAGCTCCTGTGAGCCAAGCATAAATCTAATTTTATGTGAGAAAATGAAATACCTACATTGTGCGGGCGACGTATTGTAAGTTTTAAAACTGCGTCTATTAGCTTTGAAAATTACATTGGATATTTTGGAGCTAGTTTCCAAAGCTACGGTCGGGACTTAGTTCTGGGTTATGAATCACAAAAAGGACTTAAAAATATCGTAAATACCCTATTATTGCTTTGTTTTGTGACAAAAACGATACGTAAATATAAAGTGTGCCATGGTTTTTTTTAAAGAATTTTGTGTTTTGCTTCTCATTTTGAAGTTGGAAATAATTGCTAAAATCCATTATAGCTGCCCTTTAAAAAACATAATTATATCAGCAGCAATAATACAATTAAAGCTCTGCTAGAGATGTGCTTCCATAGAGTTTCATTGCTTTAAATTGCACTAAAAGTGACCTGTGGTGTTTTACTGGGTACATACATTTGTAAATTCCTCTGGCTTACTGAATACAGCTTGAAAATTGTTGTAAGGTGGTTTTTATAACAATTCAAGATTTTAATATCAACTTTCCACATAGGGGTGCAGCTTTATTAGCAACGTTTGTATTCTTGAACGAGCAAAAGTTTGGATCACGAGTTTCTGTGGGTCAGAAGCAGAAATATTTGGGAATCACTATTCTACAGCATTTGTAACTCTTGAACAGTATCACCAAATGATGCGTTTACAAAGGAATTAAGCTAACTAAGTAAATCTTTACACAATGCTAACATTTAAATTTTAGCACAAACAAAAACTCAACAGAAAAAGAGCACATAAGTCTTCATTATGTTTTTTTTTTGTACGTGTGTGTGTGTGTGTGTGTGTGTATGTGTGTGTGTGTGTGTGTGTGTGTGTGTGTGTGTGTGCGTGTGTGTGTGTGTGTGTGGCAGATATAGTTCGAAGTGACATTGCACTGGACAAACAGAAAGGCTGCAAACTCGCCCACCATCCTGACATCATGCTGGAGCTGCAGAGAGAGAAGGCTGCCAGCACTCAGCTCGTCCTACTGAAAGAGCAGCTGTCCAACATCTACAGCAACATTACAATAACAGGTAGGAGATCAAACACACAAACTCCCCTGCGTTTTATACACCTACTCTTATGCCAACATCTCCTGGATTCTGTGGGTCATGCTTTAGCACTCACACTGTGTCTAAGGTATGCAAGAGTAAACCCTCAGCTTTTAGAATGAAAAATGCAATTTCTGAAACAGGAATGTGGGGACGGTTGAGGTGCTGTAGCAGAGGCTTGTATACAGTGCATTGACATAGTCACTTGTAACACTTAACGCAGTCTGCTGAAGAAATTGTGAGAGCTCTGATTTTGGGTGGGCTGCATACCATTTAATGTGATTTAGACACATTCCAGCAGGGAACTATAGAATATGATTTGTAGTTATAAGTATTTATTTGTAGTCTTTACTCTTTTAGGCAGTTTTTGTGTAGGCTATGTGGACCTTTCACTGATTGATAAGTATTTAATACTATGCAGCTGAATAAAAATCAGACTGGTATGCTAAAGTTGTCTTCTCTGTTGCACTTTTGCTTCTTATCCTCCCTACCATCTTGAACAGTCATGGGTGGGAGATTTTTTTGTTTTGTTTTGTTTTGTTTAGGCAGGATTTTTATTTCAAAACAGAAATCCACCCTGAGATTGAGTCCCTAAAGCCAAAGAGCCGTAGAAAAATAATTTTGAACTTTGGAAATGACTGGCAACTGTGTGTTAGAGAATACATTAATTTAGCTCTGTATTAAAGCCAAAATCCTTTCTGCAAAACCCCACTTTGCCACGGATCCAGCGCCATATGAAATATTTGGCCATGTGTTTTAAAAAGGAATTGATGAATTACAGAAAACAAACCTTCTAACTCAACCTCAAGTGAAGCAAGTTGTGAGACACATTTTTGGTCAGTACAAGTGCAGAACCGGTGGCCTCGCATCAGTTCGCCTGCGCTGTATTTGTCATGCACTCTGATGGTTCTGCTGTTCTGGGGCAAAATGACCTTCTGTGTGTTGCTGCAAAAATGATAATGGGAGATATTAGCAACATAGATCAGATGTGTGTTTTTAAATAGTCTCAAGTGCACCAAAGAAAATATGGCCAGGTAGTATTAATCAAAATAGGCAAATACAGTAAGAATTCAGACCTGATTTAAAGAGAAGTCCTTTCACAAGTTTAGCTCAAGAGTGAAACTGTAGTGCTTTTATTCTTTAGTGTTACTAATCTGTTGAGGCGAACTTTGATATTCTGGTCTTTAATTCTGTCACTACCTACCTTGAGACTTATTGTTCCCAGCAATTTCAGTTGTTTTATACTTTTTGAAAATTAAATATTTTTATCAAGAGACATTGCGCTAGCAGTGACAATGTACATGTGATCTTCTTTAAAGCCACGGCAGTTGGTCTGGTTAGTTTCTTTAGTGCAGGTTATCAGTTTTTGCCCTTATTCTTGCTAAATAATGTTTGCATAGAGCTGCAAAAGCTTTCAAAAAAAGCTCGCCTAGCAGTTTATAAATATTGCCGACTCTAGAGTGAACAACTATATTACTTGTACCATTTCTGACATTCTGTTGCGGAAACCCTTTGCACATATTGCATAACTGAACCACTAAAATAGTACTACATTCTTTGACATTTTTTTAGCTGGGCGTTTTAAAGAGCCACCCCAGAGTGCCTGGAAAACCACATGTGGCCCTGAAGTTACAGACAATTAAAGCTATTAAAATTAACAAAATAAATAAATAAATAAATAAATAAATAAATAAATAAATAAATAAATAAATAAATAAATAAATAAAAATCATGTTACAATGATCAAATAGATCTGGGTGACATCAACTTTGTTTTGATTATAGAAGTATTGACAAAAATAAAAAAAATACATTCATGTTTTATTTATACTTTGGACAGTTTCTTAACTTTGGGTAGTCATGAAAAACTCCTAGCATTCTTAGTCTCTAAATGCTTGACCTAATAGAATATACTCTGATGCACTTTTTTAAAGGAATGAAACAAATTGTGATTTTATGCATGAATTGGTTACACAATCTGGAATTCCTTCATCTTGTGTTGGATGCAATCAAAAAACCTACAGCATTTTTTTTTAAAGTTATAGTTTCTCCTTTTGCCTTGTCACCAGCATTTGAAGTTTCCTTAACCTGCTGCCACCGTAGCCGATAATCTGCTTACTCAGCAAGATAGCCAGAATAATAATACACAACTTCATGTCTGAAGTAGTTTAACAATTGTCTGTTCACTCAAAAGCATCATTTCAGTTTATCAGGCAAGCCGAAAAACAAGTTCTTGCTAATATTCCCATGAAGCTCTTTTAGCATAATGCCCTCCTAACCTCAAATATTTCTCATTTCTTAAATAAAGAATTTCTAATTAAAAAAATCATTGCAATTTATCTGTGATTTTTTTATTTGCTTGTAAAAACGCTAGAGAGTATCATCTTTTTCATACATATCTTCCCTGTTTATTTTGATAGAAATATTGTCACTGTATTGACATTACATAGAATTTGACTCGCTCTCTAACCCTAACCCTTCCACTGGTATTTTTACAATTTATCTTTGGTGATGAGTTCCACATCTTTGTGATTGAAAGACCTCCTAGCCCTAACCATAATCTTTAGCTCCTTCCACAGACTTGCATTCAAGGCTAACAAATGTTAGCTGCATGCAAAAATGTCCTAAAAAGAAATAATAATAATAATAATAATAATAATAATAATAATAATAATAATAATAATAATAATAATAATAATAATAATAATACATAAAATAAGAACTTATTCAGTTCCAAAAGGAACGGGATGAAGTCTATATAGTTCCTTGTCTTTATGTTGCTCTCACTTTGTCATTCTCTGAATATCAATAACTTAACTAACATGTCCATAGCTGGGTGGAAACCAAGTTGTCTCAGTGATATTAAAGAACAAAAACATAAATAATTTGTGGATTATTAAAATATGCATACTTCTTTGAAGCTCATCATGGGTTCAGTAATTAGTTTAAAGCCTAAGACTGAAAAGCAAGTAATAAAACTGTCTTTACTCATTTTGGGCGAGGAGAGTTGGGGGGGTTGATGGATGAAATATAATTTGGAAATATTGTTACAGTATAAATTATGGCCGAAATGAATCCTAGCTAAATGTTATTTTCTCCATGTGCTTTGACGTTTTTTTGACATGTATTACCGATGTATTCAGACCCGATGGAGGATTTTGTATTCCTAATGCTAAACACTCGCATCGATGGTTCAAATTAGGAGGTATGGGGTGATGATGAGAGATCGAAATGTGCGTCATGCTGCTTTTGAGTTGCTGCCATGGCTATGGTAAGGCTGCTTGGTGTAACCGGGGAAAATAAGGCGAAGCCAAAATTATTCTATTTACCAAAGTGAAGATTTCATTTGTGGTTTTGAAATTTCCTTGCCTTTTAAGTTCAGCATTGCCAGGAAACGCTAGTCAGAGGAATGGAGAACAAGTTAAATGATGTCTGTAATGGTGCAGCTGCTGTTTTCCTTTCATGGTGCGAAATGTCTCTGGTGGAATGTAACATATATTGTTAATTCGGTCAGCAGATGAGGCGGCGATGACACTGAAAAAGTATTAAAAGTTTGCACATGCTTGAGTAATCACCTCACCATTATTCCGAGCTGAATTGAAAGCATGTTATGTAAACTGGAATCTGCGTGAAGGCTTGTCATCTCTTTGGTTCGGGAAGAAGCAGGGGTCCGGAGGCACTAGGGATGTTTTTGAAAATGGTCTGGTATCAATTAGTCAAGATTTTAAGTGCACATGTGTGTGTGTGTGTGTGCGTGTGTGTGTGTATGTGTATGCATGAAGGCAGGTGGTGCTTAAAGGACCTTTAACAGTCTCGCTCCATCCTTTTTCACTCACCACTGTCTGCCCTCTGACCTCAGCTTGTTAGAGTCATCAGTAATGGGGCCACTATGAGTCAACGTGCACACACACACGTTCAGCAGGGGAATTGAGTTCAAAATTACCTTAACCTCAGACAAGGTCACGGTCAGCATCTTTTTACGTCTTTCTGCTTAAACACGTCCCTCCTTTCAATTAGTTCCTTCATTTTTTTAATTTATTTTTTTAGTTTTTAATTGATTCTGCATTACTTACCTTCCATCTGTTATTTTTGTCAGCACAACCAAACGTGTACTTATTTCTTTCCTATCACTGCTGTTTAGATTTAGAGAGTAACTCAGTGTTAAGAACTAGGTCTAAGATTCAGTTTCAGATCTTAAGATCATTGTGGTTGGTATAGATTCAGGGAATAAACAGAAGTTGTATGCAGTTTGTTTTAAAATGACAAAGTATATCACTGTGCAAGTTATAGAATAAACCTATAGTCTTTTAGATTTGTGTACAATGTTCAGTCTGGAAAAAAAACTGCCTTTCTTTCAGAATAGGTAAAAGCTGATATATTATGTAAACATTCACCATACAGAAAGACGTCACTAATAAAGGGAAAAATAACAGTGAAGATTTTTTTTTAAGTTTGTCATTGTAACCCTATCCTAGATTAAGTTATTAAGGAAGTGGAACGAAAACATTTCAAAGGAGGAGATGCGAAACTGAATATGAAAATACGGGTTGTGTGCAGAAAGCACATAGGAAAATATTCAACTTTCATAATTTAATTCACATGTTTTGAAAATATAGTAGCTCTTTAAGTTTCTCTCTGCCATTATGTTTCACTCTGGCAGACAGAAAGTTGGAATAATTGATAAATAAGTGCAACATGAGGCTTAGTGCGACTGACAAAGTGTAAAACTGTTTCTTGGGTTTATAATGTAATTAAAGAAATTGATTCAACTAAATTGGTTGTGTACAATTTTTAAAACAATATTTTTTAAAAAGGAAAATCTTTTTTGTACAGATTCATTGGAAAACTGGTGGATCCTAAATTAGCTTTCTCTGGACTGCTGTTGTGCTTGTTCTACAAATGACAGAGCACATAAAAGATAAATAAACAAAGTCGACGTAGGAAAACCTATCCAGCATATTCATCACAAAAGTCTGAGGTTTT